TTTTCAAAGCAAGAAATTCTCCAGAACTTAACACTCGGTTCAAAGACATTCCAAAAATCGCAGGGAGCAAATAGTTTGGATACTTCATACGCTACCCCCTTACAGGTCAACATTCCCCCCGGGATTACCTGTCCCGAGGAGGCCCGGACATGGACGCCCGAGGGGAGCCCAGGCGCGTCGGGACCAAGTCACTGAAATCGGGCTATTGTTCCCCGCTCCATTAGATTTGCTCTACTTATCTAGGAAAAATCAGCGACTATTTCGGAAGGCAAAAATGGTTCAGAAGTGAAAGAAATTATTTGACTTGCAGTATTATCGATTTCTGAAAGGTCGTCGCTGCTGGAATTTCTCCCTTTCTCTCTCGAATACAAGTTGCTATGATACGGCGCGTCCTTCCCCTCTTTCGGCTTGCGAACTTTACCTCTCTCAGTTAGAGGACCAGTCCGAACCCCTACCGTGGCGTCAAGCGAGGAAAAAATCGAGAAAGTTGAAGGACTAACAAGATAACTAAATTATCATACCCCTGAGAAAAGGGTACTAAGGCTTATTATGATATCGGTATCATTAGAATATTTGGAAGCAAAGTCCTTGGTTTACCGCTATGAGCTCTGCAGCTGGGGGAAACCCAAATGATCAGACCTGTCTCGCCAGGTCCCCTACGGTACGAGTAGACACCCAAACCCCCCCCCCCTTCCGGCTCAATGAGTGAAATTCTAAGTTCGGAGGTGTTAAAAGATTTTGCCCCTCTCAGCGAGGTATCATACCAGTACTCGAGTAGCGTACCGTAGCATGTTCCCCACGACCCAGGATAGCAAGTGCGACCGCATATTTCGTGGACCCCTGGACCGATAGCTGAGACGTTTAGAATCAGAAACATGGTCATAGCGTTATGTTCCACAATGGTGAAACAATGGCCCGGGGTTTTACGAGTAGATTTCATGCGTGATCAGGATGTTATATCATAGGTCTATGCTACAATACAGCAGTACATCTAATGTTATTGGACAAAAGTCATCATCATTGGCTCAATCTCATGTCGCACCCAGCCCCCTCCCAGTACCTGTCAAAAAGCACCAAAGTGGTAGAATTCGGTGGTAATTGAAATCGCAATTTTTTACCCCAACCTATTCATTAAACGATTAAAATGAAAAATATATCAACAGGTAGCTGAAGACCTAGTGGTGTGAAGTCTGTATTTTCATATGATACGGGATTTGTTCCGTCGGCAGCCCTCATTAATCGGCGCACCCGGTCTCCAAAAACTGGACTCGAGGGCTGAGAATATTGTGTGGGTACAGTATGTATAATAGTACTGTACAGCTCTCATACAAAGATACCAGCACAATATGCTTCGAAATTTAATTCTCACAAATTAGAGTACCAGAACATCTCTATTTCCTGGAATTAATCTACTTCCTCTGCAGGTGATCAAGTTCCAGCGCTACGAAAAATATAATTTTGAGGGCAAAAGTGGTCATCGACGATGGTCCTTTTTTATCACCTTACCACGCAGTACGAGTATCATAAGGTATCGAACCAGGCACAGAAGAAGTGAATCACTTTGCATCAGATCCTTCTCAAAACCTCAAAAAAAAAAAAAAGAAAGAAAGAAAAGGGCAAATCTGACATAACATTGTCATCAGGAATACTCGAGTGCCTTCCCGCACTTACGAGCGTTCGATTTGAGATTTTCAGCTTTCCACATTTTCTTTAGTGCATTTTAACTGCTTCAACTTCCCGGCCTAACCCGATCCCGGGACTCGGAGACACGTTGCCCTCGGAATAAGCTGTTCTCTCCCCCACCAACCCGCCATTCCGGGATGGGTTTAGTTCTTGACAGGTTAACCGGAATCGCCGATACCGGTTAACGAGATCCAACAACGCATCCAGTTGATCCAGTACCCGTACAACATCGGGAAGGGGCTAATCTTCTGCCTCTGGATCCGGAGATGGTAGGGCTGGGATAGGAGATTGCAGATTCGGTACAGTACGAGTAGTGCTCGCCATTCTCCACACACACACATTAAGAAGTGCCAGAAAACCGGGGGAGGTATATTCTGTATGGGGTGTTCGGATACGCGCAGATGTTTCACAATAGACTAGTCTATGTTTCTCTGGTCCCGGTTTTCGCGCTCTTCTTAGGTGGAAGGATTAGGCATGAAGTACCAAGGCACATACTTGTAGGTTGGAGGTTTTTAGAGAGCAAGCTATTTATGGGAAACTGCGCGCCCGTGGTAGATTCGGGCTTGGATGTTCGCTTTCCTCACACCCGGCACTCGCACCTAACCGGGGAGCTGTGCGAGGCGCGATCTCTTGACCCTTTTTTCGAGTCACGAGGATTGGAGGAGAAAAAAACGAGTGATCTAGTTATGATACAATTGATGTGTAACCGGGAAACAAGACTTTGCGGGAACTACGATACCCCCGGTTCAGGCACTCGGACACACACACAACTCACCTTCGGAAGGGACTTTAAAAGCGTCAGGTTCTAGTGCGGTGGAAACCGGGGCCCCAGACTCTTTTGTCCCCTTCCTTTCTTCCCAACCCCCACTTTTTGTGGGTGTTGGCTGGCTCGAGAGGACGCATTTGCTCATGATATTTTACTGAAAACCGCCCCTATGTAGCGCTCTTGTCTCAAAAGGGCTTGTGGATAGAGGGTGTTTGGTGCTGTGATTTTTAAGTGGTTTTCAAAACTGCCGCTTTAGTGGTGTGCGTTGCCAGATATGATATCGTGCTATAGGAAAATTGTGAAAATTGAGGTAAAAGGGAAAAAGAAAAAAAAAAGATTATTTATCAGTGGGAGGGGTTAAATCGCAATCGAGCAACTTCAACTAGGTAAAACTGGTATTAAAGTGGGGTTTATGAACCGAATGTTACCCAACGAAAATGTTCCACCGCTCGAAAACAGCATGCGCCCAAACAGGCCAACCCACATCAAATGTCGTGTTCCGAACATCCCCCTAAAAAGTTTCACGTCCCTCTCATTCACTTGGCGGTGATTGGATGACACATTGGGTCAGGGTTACAGGACACCGGATGCAGGAACAAACCCATCTAATCGGAATCACCAACCCCGCACATTAGTCTACTTGGGCACAAGATCCCGGGTGATCAGCGGCTTGGTACTGTTCTCGTACAAGCACAAAGTGATTCATCTGCCTACCCGGAGATCTGGGAAGTACCCTTTCAAGATCCGCAGCCCTCTTCTCGAGTGGGCTCCCAGTTGATGCAAGGCCCTTTGATGGAGCCGGGGGAGCCTGGCCACTACCGGTACGAAGTACTTTGGAAGAATGTGACCTGCAGCCTGTATCATAATCCGGATGACCAAGCCTTGTCATGGAGGTTGTGCGGTGTGAGGGAGGTCTGGTTGGGTGAGTCATAAATAGGACTGGTGTCATAGGATCAAAAAAACTCCTTTGTGGTTGGCGGAACGGAACCCACGATGGCCCGAGCGCCCAATAGGAAGTCACTCTCCTATTGATCCTTCTCCTAACTTTACTCCTACTTGATTTTTAATCTAACCAATTTACTGCTAACTATGATGGGCTATCGGATATTAGGCATGGGGGCGATTGTGGCAAATGGAAAAGATTGGTCACCATCCTAGCCAACGCCATCGTCATGCCCGGTCAAGGTTGGAAATACGGAGTAAGCAAAGGATGTGTGATGGGCGGGGGTAAGCTCACTGAGTATTCTCGGCTAAGCATAATCGGTGCGCCCATCCCCACACTCCGGGTGTCTCCCTGGACGGCGGAGGTCCTTGTGAATTTTTTCCTTGGCCCGGTTATGAAAGTGTTGCACTTGTAAATTACAGGTACGAGTACTCGTGGGACACTCTTTACTACCGGTATACTTGTAGCGTCGGTGGTGTTGCTATAATAGTCGTGGGTCGTTCGGGCAGGGGGTGCGGGGGATCAGCTGGTGGTCTCTCTCTCGTCGCCCCCTTTCAGAATCGGCCGTGAGTTGGGGGACTAACCGCATTCGACCACCAAGCCCCCTGGATTATCGCATTCCGGGAGACGGTCGGGGGATTCTGGAGGACCTTTGGACTGGGAAATTTGGGGGGTTGGGGTGGAGAGACCTATGGGAAACTGATGGGAGAGGGAAAGAGAGATAGCGGAGAATGTAAAAAGTGCATTTCTCGTCAAAGCGAGGATTGGGACAGTTTGATAGGGTCATCTGAATAATATCTAAGGTTATTATTGCCATTGAATGGATATACGTTGAGATCTGCACCGCCCTTTTTTTTCTTTTTTCTTTTTTCTCCTCAATGGTTGCTGTTACCGGGTCGGGAGCTCGTACAATATCTACAAGTACGGTACTTGTACTCGTACAGGTACCGGTACTTTTTTATTGGCATCCCCCCTGCCAATGGGCGGTTTCGTATATATATATGGGTGAGAGATGTCGGATTAAGGATATTATTATGCACGCACCCCGGGCAACATCCGAGCGCGTGGTAATGAACGGGATTCATGTACTGTACGAGTACAAGTACTTGTAGCATACTGGGGGCAGGTTACACTATGTGCCCTGCATAGCGGAGATTGCTTTTGTTGCCCGGGAGACTTCCTTGGTGTCTGGTGTGTGTAGCCAACAGGTCGTTTGTCGTTTAGATTGAGTTATGCATGGCTGAATCATATCTTCTCGTTTAGTGTTTAGTCCTATCCTACTCGTAACGCCCACTGTAGATCTGAGTTTCACACCGTTTTGTGACATCATAGGGGGTGTGGAAGGAATAATTGTGGGGAAAGGGAACAACAACGGGAGAAAAACGTGGGATTTGAAGTTGCCGAGGTTTCATCACAATTGGAAAGTATGATTGATGCATTGCTGTGTGGCAAGCAAGGGTGATGTGCTAAATTTGTGGGTGTTGACAAATTGTTTGAACAAAGTTATGGTAGCTAATTAGGGCAAAAAATGCAAAACACGGTTATATAGTATCATACATGGAAAAGCCCCGCTAAAACGAGAAACGCCGATGGAAAGGAGTACCACCCCTACGCCAACCCATCCGCCTCCAGATCGGCCATGATTCCTCTCCCCAAGGCCCCCCAAATCCTCGTTCCTCCGACGGCCTCCTCCTTCTCTCCATACTTGGAAACCCTCGTGGCCCAGACATCCCTCATAATTTTAGTGATCACGAGGACATCTTCCCCACCGATTGGCGGTTGGTCCATGCCGACAGCAGCCATCCCTGCCTTCTGACCGATATGGCCCTCCTCAATACCAAACCTCGTACCGAAAAATGGCATAGTCCATTCCTTTGCATTCTCGCCCATTTCGAGGCATGCGGCGAAATCGCTCTTGTAATAGGCTTCGCCACTATTGAATAACGAAAACATAGCCGTCCATATACGCGCGATACGATCCGGATCATCTGGCGACATCCAGCCTGCTGCTATGGCGTATTCTTCAGCCCCCTTTCTCAGCGATGCCTTTTGCTCTTCACCCTCAAGCCAGTCGATACCCATTTGGGTGTGGTAGTAGGCTATAAAGGCGTGACCACAGGCGACCGGGGCAACATAATGGGCATAATATATATTCCACCAAGGGTCGGCATCGTCACGGACTCCGTTGGCGTTCGGAGGTTTGGGCTTACCATTGAATGAATCAACGAGCCATTGGCCGATTGCTTTCAACTCCTTGAGTTTCTTGACCTGGGCATTACGAGAGGTGGGGCTATCGCCATAAGAACGTGCGATGGATTGCGCAAGAAGTATTTTAACGCCTCTGAGGAACGTTTCTTCGAGCGTACGACCACGGGTGGCGCCATCAACATTCGGCCACACTTTCCACGCTTCTTCAATAAGCTCCACGGCGCGTCTGAACTCCTTCTCCTCATTTCCAGGATCAACTATACCAGCGAGACACCCGTTCATGAGGGCCGAACGGACCGAAAGTTGAAGTGCCGGACGAACCAGATCCCACCCAGCCAGAGGCCCGGGAGAGCCAATGGAAAAACTAGCGCCGTAGCTGTTGATTAACGGTCCATTTTGTGGTGGCTGGCTAAGACGTCTATTGTATTCCGCGATAGTTTCTTTCGGCGATAAGTTCGGACCAACCGCGTTTCGCTGGTGCTGCTCGAGTTGATAACATAGCTGGAGTTTTTCAATAGCAACCCCATCTAGACGAAGGACCCGGCTGTCCTCCAGCAGCGCAGATGTAAGCTCCTCGAGGGTCTGAACACGACCGTATATGCCGAGCACGCCCGGTGCTGCGCCGGGAATTTGACGACGGTGATATTGAAGGAGATTTGAAAGAGCATTTTGGAATTGCATTTCGCTATCACGTTTAGCAAATAGTGGATAGACGCATGATGAGAAACTTACGCGATCCATATCCTACGTAGGCAGGTTCCGTTCGGCGGCCAACTACCCATCGGCTCACCCGCGGCACACCTCTGCTCAAACTCACGCATTACACGCTGCCCAACGAAAGTCTCATTATCCTTGATAAGATGCTTGTGATAACTCGGACGCTCTGCAATTTTCTTATCGATAGCTATATGGCAATGTAAGTAATGGGTCTTGATTGTCTGTCACCTATAACGCTCACCTTCAATCGACCTCTTGATCTCTGCCTCCTCCTTTTCCTTCTGTGCGGGACTGGCTCTCAAATCTGCTAGTACCACTTTGAGAGACTCTTCGAACACTCCTTTTGCCTTGTCCAATTCTTTTTGCGCCTCAAGAACACTTGCTTTCCGACGGTAGGCCTTCGACCAAGTGGGGTCGAGCTTGATTGCTTGATTTGCATCATTCAACGCGAGAGGCAACTTATTCATTGACAAAAGTGCGGCGGATCTATTTGAATAGAGAGCTGGCGAGGTGGGATTTAGGTGAATTGCTTGTGTATAGAGCGCATATGCGGCAGAAAACTCCCTAGAGTTATTAGATTAGATACCGTATTCGTTTGAGCGTCTCTCCTCTTTGAGAGGGGGGAGGATGGGAACGAATCACTTTTTGCCAAAGGAAGTATTACCCTGTTGCTTGAGATCATCAGATTCCTCCACTTGAGCTTCGGTCGGAGCCATTGTAATTGCGATTGTATGTGTGGCGCTGAATGAAGCCGAGATGAGAAGGGAGGAAGCTGGTCAGACTGTTGTGCTGAAACTGGCTTAAGGATGGCCCCGGTTAGTCTTGGCAAGTGCCACTCTCCTTTCCTGTTTGGTGCGGATGGCTACCGAGCCGACAAACAACGGCCCAGGCACGGTGCCACCTCGGGTGCGCGGGTATCGGGGTTTGAATACCTCAGTCTCAGGTCGGATGATGGGGGGGGCTATAGCGGGATGTGATTTACCCTATGTGATTTACCCTGCAAGTTATTCGAGGAAAGGAAAAGAAAGGGAAAAAATGAAGAAGAAATCTGTCCGAGCTTGGGCGCAAACAAGTTCTAGTACTTGAGTACTGTACAAGGACTCTGGATATAGTGTTTAAGCTGGGGTATATGGGCCCACCTCTACCTGCACCGATGCTTTGCTGGTGGCGCAGTTTAATACCGGTATCATGCAGCACTCAGGTTTAGGGGTCGTATTGGGCCGAACTGCACTCACTATTGATCACTGGCTTCACCCAAACAATCGTATAAGAGAGGCTGTAGTATAGCAGCACTATTCGGCTGAGAGAATTTCCTAATTATTGTACTAGTACAGTCGGACCGTCCGATCTACCCCTAGCACAACTAGTCACGAGTGGATGGGGGTTTTGGGGGGAAGTTTGATACTGAGATAAGTAAAAATCCACCTCTCCTCCCTCTACCGGTTCCCCCAAAAAATCTCTTGCAGAAGTGGCCAGTGTACAGAGCACGTATTCCAGTCATGGGCCCAGCTGTCAAGAATTCAGCAAAACTCTGGGAATCAGCTGGCCATTGTTGATCGACTGTCCACAGTGTTGGGGTCCGGATTCATCGGGTAAAGCCCTCCCGGGAACACTCCCGCGATCCACAAAGTGCCCTGTCTAGCACGCGAAGTAAGCTCGCGCATAGCTCCAACGGGCCATAGGAACTACTGCGCCCAGGACATGGCTGTCCCTTGAAGCACCAGCACCAACAAATTCCTCTCTAATCTTGGCATCGTTGTTGATACATAATCGGCCGATTTGTGAGTGGGTTTTTCTGGCTGAAAAGTCGTTCAATCAAATCTGTTATCTAGGCATCGCTAAACAGGTATACAACTGCCCGAGTAGTCGGAGTTGTTATTGTTGTTGTTGTTGTTGTTGCCGGGGTTGCCATAGTAACGGAGCTTGCCAGTGGACTTGGTTGGTGGATAGCGCATGGTTGCCGACGCCGACATGGTCCCGCGGGTAGACTCTCTTGCTGGTGTGACTGGTGCTGTGGGCGCGATAGCTTCGTTCCCCTTCAAGTTATGATGGATGTTGGGGCGGAATTATGTGGGCATGTGTTGCTGCGGAGGAGCTGACTCGTGTTTGGTGACAGGTAGCCAAAAAAAAAAACATACCCCAGGAGGTCCCGCGGAAACTTATTCAATAGGGCCAAAGTAGACCGTGATAGACAATAGCGCTGGGGGAAAGAACCGTAAAGAGAAGGAAATCGTGTGAATAATGCCGGATAATGGAAAGTATCTGGGAGGTGGCACGTACTCGTAGAGGAAGCTAGGGAAAAGATGCAAGGGGGAACAAAAAAGAAGATATTAGGTAACCAAACAACAATTCGCGTTCCGGTGACCTGGGATATAAGGAACTTGGCTATCCCCACGAGAGCCTTGGCCTGGGATCTATCGCCTCCTCTACCTAGTAGAGACTAGCTCCACCGACGCTGGGGTAGCCACTGCGCTAACTGACTGGGAACTTGTGATATTATTGCTCTTGGTTCACAACACAAAGTTGGTATGATAACATAGACCTTGTGAGGGGCCGAGCCCTAAGCCCTGCTGGTAGGCTTAGAGAGTTAACAGCCCGGATATGACTTTTGGCGCAGTACTCGTACAAGTGTCATTAGGGACACTGTATAGGGGGACAAGGCCGACGGCCGGCCCCGGCATTGAAAACATCCGTAGGCTCACACACTAGGGATCAACTTAGCCTTTCTACTGGCCAACCAAGGTGGATTTCCCTGGAGAGGTTTGTGCACTTACCTACAGCCTCCAATATTCTCTTTTGGGTGACATACTTGGATATACTGAATCTCAATATGTTTCGTGGCAGCCTTGCGTTAAAGAATGGTGAAAAGTAGGCTATTTTCCTGCCAACCTATATGCCAAAGTTGACGAATTTTCCACAAGGATATTTTAAGCCCTTGCTTGATACAGAGACCGAATTCAAGAGGGATCTCGTGGTGCCTTATACGAGAGATATAGGAGAGTCCCGGAGTCCACGGAGAGTTCCTTCTTTTCTGTCTTATCTGGGAGCTTACCGGCTACCTAGAATAGATTGCGGTTATTAAAAAACTTTTTTTCTAAGCATGGGGGGTGCCGAAAATTGCCAACCGTGCCGCTTTGGCCCATGTGATTGGTCAGCCCAATGTTGTGAGGTGATGTGTACGGGCAACAAGCATCTATTAACGCACTACGGTAATGGCTCGGCAATTTCAACTAACTATGGCATGAGTTCCACGACGTTGAATGGCTCCGGGTTGGTATATTCAATGATGGGGACTTACTGCTTTCCGGGTCTGTAGACATATCCACCATGCAAGATGCTTATCAGGAATCTCCATATATATTGAAGGTATGCTGAGATAGAGACAAGATCGGCGCTTTTGCGGAGCTCCGCGAGCATGTAGGGCGGGGATGGAAAAAATGCTATGATCGAGATGGCACGATGGACCCGAAGGAGAATTATGGTCGTATTAAGATTGAGGAAATGTGCGCAAACCAAAAGTGGGGAGAAGAGTCGGGAATGAGTTGTTCGGTTTCCCCACGTAGGGCTTTTGAAAAACCCAGGTATTGCATGCTGAGCACATATCAGGTCGCCGGATGATATCCCCTGCATGCCACGACAAAGGGACTGGAAGTATGTCCTTCAGTACCAAGGCTGGCGATATGTGTTTGCACCTTCATGCTTTAGAAACCTTGGAATGCCATTAGCCGGAGCTACCACGTTTGATAATGGGGGGGGGTATTAATCACCTCACGTCACTCGGCCGATGGTTTAAGCAGCCCAAAACCTGCACCAGAGTCCAACTTTTCAAATTGTATAGCCACTGCAACCACAAAACTAATTCCCCCGAGAAGACCTAGGTGCTATTCTCCTTTCTTTTCTCTTTATTTCCTTGTTTTTTTCTTTGGAATTAGTTTTGTAATTGTAGAGGCTATTGAATTTGAAGAGTTGGACTCTGGTGCAGGCTCCGGACCACTTGAACCATACTCTCCTGTTTTTGGTCGCTGCTTTGGATAGTAGGGATTCCAGAGGGTAGCGTGCTCCCTAGAGCATACCAAGAGAGATCCTAGTGAAGATGTGTCTGTCAAAATCCGGGTAGCCATCCGACGCCTTCAGGTCTGATCGTATATTGCCGGGTGAACGCCTGCAACTGACAGCAGGAGCTCCCGGTCATTTTCTCAGGAAATCTCAGATCTCACCTCCGCGACCTCAACGGAGGAAAAGAAAAACCAGCTCTCTCCGCGCCTGTGGAGATGCCGGGTCTGTAAATATCCTTGACCGTGGTGGGGGGGCTCATTGGGCCACGAAGGAAGCCTCTTTTTCCGGCAGATGGCCGCAGGCGCTGACCGCGGTCTGCCATCTTCGGTGAAGAAGTGACCGAAGGTGCATGAAGAGTGCACTCGTGAGAGTGGGATGGCCAAGGAGTGTTGAATATATGATCGATTGGCAAAAACTGGGGTCAGTAGGTTACTCCGCATCAGCATCACAACTGCCGATATGCGGGATGAAGAAAATATTACGAGACAAGGAAGCAAACCCTTACTCTTTTCCGGTGGTCCATCTTTGTTTTCTTTTTTTCCTTATCTCTGTTTTGGGACTGTGATGCCAAAGGTGGGGAGGTAATAGAGGGGATTGGCAGACTGGTAAGTTTTTTTGTCTTAAAATCTATCTACAGCTCACCTACTTGACAGCGCATAACCTGCCCTGGGCACCACCAGTTGCCTGAAGGAACGTGGATACTAACACGCATCTATCTGGCCTTGTTTTAGTTATGCTAGGTAGCCACATCCGGATCTGGGCAGAAAACTCTGCTCGGCGTGGGGGGGGGGGGGTCAAGGAGAATGGACGACGATAGCAGAATAGAAAATTACTTGTGGTGGAGGGATTGTATGTTGGAAGATCTTGTATGTTTCTGTGCTTGTCTAGAAGGGCTGGTGGGAGACTTAACTACTGATCAGAGGGGCTGCAGCATTGCTCGCCCTTAATGATACCATCAGGATTATTCCGTCCCTGGGGGGATGTTCTCTTTGGCTTTTCTTGAAAATGTTATTAAGTTAGAAGGACGGAATAATAGGGCAAGGCCGAGCATTCAGTTAGAAAGAGCGGGCTGTGATATTCCAGGCGCAAGGCCAAGGTTAGAGCGTGGAAAACTAGGAGGTTATTCTGATGGAGGATTTACCAACAGTTGCCTCTGGGGAAGCGAAAGTTCATCCAAGTAGGACGAATCTAAGCCGCACTTGAACAGTCCCCCAACCAGCAGGAGCACAACAAAGTCTTCTGTTTAGGTTTTTTGTGTCCACAGCATTAGCCACTGCCGTCTTGTGCTATTATGGCTCACCCATTTGTTACATGCTTGCTGACAAGAAACTGGGAAGCAAAGCTCATGGAAGTAGATGCTAAGTTATTATGTTCAGTGTTTAGACCGGTACTGCTATCAGGACTTACGAATAAGTGATTGAGCGACAATTCTGGTTTTCTACTGTTCAGAATTCTCTCCTTAATTCAAAAGTGCCGAATTGTCTTTCCAATGGTGCAGAATTGCATGGGACTGTTTGAGGCTCATTGCTCCTGCGATGAGAGCCTCCGGGGGGGGCGGCGCGGGTCGGGCTGGCTCTGAAGCATATACCGGTATCTGGCTGGGCAGTCAGAAATGGCTGATTGATGCTGCGCACGAAAAAAAATGACTTTTAGCATCTGC